GTTCTAAAAGGGGGTAGGATAAATTTATTATGTTATCTATTAAAAGAGGTAGGTTTTTAATTGAATTCATTATCTAAAAAATAATTGTTTTATATTCATAATATTTTGATATTTGGTAGTAGAGCTAAAATAATATAAATTATTCCTTTTAAAATTTATGAAAGGAATACCATTATAATTAAAAAGGAAATTAATAATATTGAAATATCGCAGGTTTCGGCGGTAAGTTTTTTTAGAGGGGTAGACATAGGTTTTTGGGGGTTTTATCCAGTTAAAATTCTGTCATGTAGACGCTGCTTGTGCAGAACAGAATAGGTTCTACCAAAAAAATAACGTGAATAAACTATACAGTTAAATACTATAATTAGTGTTGTTAAACGGCTCGTTTTAAGCCAATTTTTAAAAATGGCCAATTCAATATTTTATCCAGAAAAAATATTACGCAAGCCTGTTTGTAGTGGCACAAAGATTTGGACATCCATTAGCGAAATCTCGAGGCTTAGGCAATATTTTTCTAGCTAAAATATTGAGTTAGCCGTTTTACTACACTAACTATAATATAACGATTAAAGTTGTTTTAAGTTAAATAATATAAATTTAAATTGGAATAAAAGTTGTTTTAAGCTAAATAATAAAAATTTAAATTAGAATAAATAAATGCTATCAGGTTCAACAGAATCAAAATAAGTTTTAGATAAAAGTAAGAAAAATATAAATAATTGTTGTATTTATTTTATTATGCTTTACTTCCATTGGTAAATTATAAATACTTGTTATTATATTTTTATTTACTTACAACTGTATTTCCTTTTTTTTACACGATTGTAAAATTATAAACAGAGCTTATTTTTACATGATTTTCACTTGATAGAAAAACGAATTCGAATCGAATAGTGCATTAACGAATCGAATAATTTACTATTTGAATTCGTACGAATAATAAAATCTACTATTTGTATTAGATTCGAATTAATTTTTTTAATAAAATAAATCATACTCAAATATATTGGCAAATTTTTTTATTACAAATTTGATTTTAAACAGAAAAAATTATAATAATATGTAATCAATAATCTGATCATAAATAATATATAATCAAGTTATAAACAAAATTAAAATGTATATTATTAATTTATTTTATAATTTAAGCCAATTTTTAAGGCAAAGAGTTTTTCTTTTATTTTCTTCCTTATATGACATGCTGTTTTTTGACAATAAATTAGTTCCAACTGAGAAAAGCCTTTCACAAGCAGTTGATGTTCCTTGTATTTATCTTCAACATCAAGCATAATTTTATCAGAAGCATTCTCCTCTAACATAATTAGGTTAGCTAACAATAATTATTGTAGGAGATGTAATATATTTTTTATATACCTCTGGTTTGTTTAATTTTTAATATAATTTATTATGAGATTCAAAAATTAAACTTTTCATGAGATTCAAAAAATGTGGCAAATAAAAATTTAAATTTTCACTTCAGAAATTTTTAAATTTGTGCTAGAATCTTTATAAACACAAACACATCACCTGTCAGATTGGCAGGTCAACAAATAGAAATGACAAATGTTAGATTTATTAAACAATTTATTAAATAATACGAATAATTCGTTTTATTCGAATCGAATAAATGATTATTCGTATTCAGATAAAACAAATAATTTATTATGCGTATTCGTAATTATTCGATTAGATTCGAATCGAATTATTTTTGAATAGGCCTACTTGATACTGGTCCTAGCTAGTTTTAAGGATGGCCAATACACATATATATTATTTATAAAAATACTTCAATGGATTTTTTTGTTTGGTAAACAAAACTTGTAGTATATTAGAACAAAAAAATATATATTCAAGATCGATTTTTTTTTATTTTAAAGAATTATAATTCTTTTTTTAAGTTTATATTTTGATTTTTTTTACGCTTTTATTTATAACCAACGTATGTTTAATAAAATTATTGTTTCTTCTTTCTGGTCTATTCGCGACGGAAGTTGAATACGATGACCAAATGCCTGCTAAGTCCCGTCCTCCAGTCCCAATCTCCTACAATCCCGGATCATCGAACTCCATCAATCCCTCCCCCTCCCCGATGGTTGAACAACCAATGATCGTGGCTTTAACTATTTCAACAATATTTTAAGAAATGGTCCTTGGTTAAATACAGGGGCGTCGCTACCTAAGTGCTTGGGTGCTAAAGCGCTCATTATTTCAAAATTAGAAATAATTTTGTCACAGGAAAACCGCTGTAATTTAATTTATAAATATCATGGGTTTTTTATATAACTAGATTAATATCATTATAGAAAATGATTTATAAAAGTTATTTTTGACAAAAACTAGGAATAACCGACTTCTCAGGCAACAAAATATTAAATAAACATTTATTTAGACATTATAAAAGAGATTTAGAACATATCAGGCATATCCTTAAACGATTTTAGAACAAGAATCTTTGGCTTTTTGATTTTTGAGCTTTAGGTGAAATGATTGTTCATTCCTGACGCCTTAAAGAAAGATTGGATAATTCAAATAGATTATCATACATTAAGGCGAGATCGGATATTGTTATTTTGCGCTGTTGCTAGAATTTGACAAAATATTTGAAACTTGTATAAAGTTAAATAATTATTATTAGTTTTTTTTGTATATATATATAAATATTTTATTTATTAAAAAGATATTCAAAACAATTATTATGTTTAAAATATTCCATTTTATTTTACTTTATACTATTCAAAAAAAATATTGAAAAATATTTTATTACTTGCGCAAAATATTTCAGTTTATTTCTTTAGGTTGTGTCCAAAATGTTTTGAAAAAATCCTTAAAATTTTAAAATTTTCGCAAATTAATAACAAAACACTTTAAACACATTTAAGTTTTAAAATAATAAATTAAAGTTTTCAAAATGCTTGATATAATTCAATTATTAGTTATTTATTCTGTTTGAAGATACGACTGAACCTAGAAATAGGCATATAAATTTGGAATTCAGGTGTATATTATAATTAGAATATTAATAAATATAATCATTATAGAGGTCATGGACTTTTAAAATATTTGATATTATACCTTGTTATCTTGATAAATTCCGTGAGATATTTCACATGCATGTGGAAACTTTTAATTATATTCTAACATATTTGAAGCAAATGGAGACCCCTAAAGTCATACATAAAAACAATGTTAGTATGAAGAATGGCTTTATATAACCTTTATGTATGATTTATATTTTTTAATAAATTATCTTATTATTTCTAGATATTTGACAACAGGAATAAGTTATAGAAAAATAGCCTTATTTGCAAAAATTGGCAAATCATCAGCAGCTACTATTGTTACATCTATATGTAGATTATTATGGATAAGTCTTCAACCCAAGCATCTATCTTTAGCAACAGTTCAGTTCAACAAATGCTTGATATATCAGCAGAATACTTCAGAGAATCTGTTTTTCTTTTATATAGGTGCTATTGATGGAAAGCATGTGAGATCAAAACAACCTAAAAAAGTGGATCTGTTTTTTTAATTATAAAAAATTTAAATTCTCTTGTTCTACAAGATGTAGATGATCAGAGAGCAAGGTTATTATGTATTTTATTAATTTAATTCTTTTCTAGATTCATATTAATTGGGGTTGGCTTTCCTTCCTGGGTGTATGTCAGATGGAAGCATTTTTACCAAGAGTTAATTTTATCAAGGAATGATTAATAAAATTATTAAGATACCTAATCCAAATTTCTTACCTTCAACAGACATAATATCTCCATATGTATTTGTAGGAGATGATGAGAATCCTTTACTATACTTCATATGAAACCATATAAAAACCATTAAAATGCCCAAAGAATAAATTATAATAATAAAATATCTTGTGCTAGAGTTTCAATTGAGCGATGTTTTGGGATTTTCTGCCAAATTTAGGCATTCATAAATTATCCTGAAACTAACATAGTTAATACAATTCAAATTGTTAAGGCAGATTGCCTTTTACATAATGTAATGATAGATATAGAAGGCATTCAAAATATAGAACATAGTTCAAATGAAGAATGCCCTTTACCAGATTCTATTGAATCTCAATACGATCTCTCAAATGAGAACTCTAATAATATATGAGACATATTTCAAAGATATGTAGATATTTAATTGTATATATCTTATATTTCAGTTATTAAACTTTGTATGAACCTATTATTGATAATGATATTTAAATATTATTTATAACTTAATAGATACATATATGTTGTAAATAATTGTATCAATATTTAATAATCAGTTGGAAATAATTAGGGCTGTGCCGATATTAAATATCGGATCGGATTAGCACCGATATTTAACATTTTACAATAATATCGGACCGGGCCGATACCTGTAAAAACCGATCCGATCATTTTACTTTTCTTTTTTTTGTTATTTTATATATATTTATTTTACATTAATAATATTTACTAAATATTTTTTTTTATACAATGCAAATGCACAACACCCAGGGTTGCCAGATGTCACGATTTAGCCGTGATTCTCACGATTTCATACCTAATTTTTTACTTACCCACGTTTTTTCACACTTTACGCTTTTCTCACGTTTTTTGAGTAAATTAAAATAATCACACTTAGTCTCACACTTTTTCTCACGTTTTTAAATTTTTTCAATATATTTTTAAAAACAAATATAAAATTTTTAATTAATTTTATATTAAAATATTTAAAAAAATTGTAGAATTTGTTAATAGTCCAACTAACCAATCATATTCATTGATCAATTACCCACAACAGAAATTCTATTTTTAGAAAGTTTATCAAGTATAATTATAATATGAATTTAAATAACTATACATTTCTTTTATGGATTTTATAAATCATATATTAAAACTCGTAAAATTTTAAAATAAATTAAGGGCAAATATTAGATCTATAAAAACAATCATCCGTTTTCAATACTAACGGATGCATAGAATAAAGGTAATAAAATTTCCCTTATTACTTAGATACTTCAACGAAAAGAATGAAATAAATGTTTAATTACTTAAAATTTTTTCGTCTGACAGTGAAACCCCTAAAGACATATCTAGATGCTTGCTAGAAAATCTAAAATTCGCTGAACTTGATATTGCTAATATAACGGCCTATTGTGCAGATAACGCATCTGTAAACTTTGGGAAAAATTAAAGTATTTGGACAGAATTGAAAAGCCATATTAATAATATTATTAAATGTGTTGTATATGCCACATTCTTCACAATTCGTTTAAAAAGGCCATAATTTTTCTTAAATATGATATTGAAAGTATATTAATTAAATGCTATAATGAATTTAGCACGACAAAAAGAGTTACAATTTTAAAAGAATTGGTAGAATGGTGCAATTTAGAATGGTCAGAATCACTTCGCCATGTTCCAACACGCTGGCTCACGTTATTCCCAGCGATTAAGCGGATGCTTAAGTATTTTCAACTCCTTAAAGAATATTTTTTATCATTATCAGACCCCACCAATTTTGAAAATAATTTTTGGAGATGATTTTGCAGAGGCATATTTAGGTGTTGTCCTTAACGTTGGCACTTTAGTCAATAACACAAATTTACAATTGCAATCTGAAGATGTATTAGCAATATATATACATGATCTTATCCTAAAACTAAAGAATTCATTAAATTTAAAAATTTAACAAAATTTTATGGGAGCATTTCTAAAAATATTTTACAACATAATGATGTAAAAAAAGGCAATAAATTTCAAAAATGAATCAAAGATATTTATAAAAAATATTATAGAATATGTAGAAAAACGTTATGATATTATAGATAATATATGGAAATATCTTAGCCCTAAGTGACATTAAAATAATGTCCAGAATTTGAACAATTACAAAAATTTATTAGTAATTATAAAATACCAAACATAGATACAGAAATTTTCTTTGAGGAATATTCACAATTTTATTCCTATTATGAAGAAAAATTATCAAAAAACTATCACATGAATACCCAAGAAAAATGGATGGATTTTCTTTCTAATAAAAACTCACCATTTATAGAGAAAATATGCAATTTTATATTTTCTATTCCGCATTCCTTTTGCTTCATCAGAGAGAATATTCAGTCTAATGACTACTGCTTGGCGAAAAGAACGTCATCATTGGAAGCTGAACTTATGGTTAAACAAAATATAACTATTCATGCAAAGAGTTTTCAGCCTATCTCCACAGTGCCTATGGGAAATCTTTATTGCCTCTTTTAAAATCATCCATAAAATATAATAATTAATATTATGCTATATTTATAAACATGAGAAAATTATATATCATAATTGTTATTAGTAAATCAATAAAGAATTTTTATTGTCTTTAAAACCTTGTTATTAGTAAATCAATAAAGAATTATTATTGTCTTTAAAACCTTATTATATTAAATATAACATATTAAATTAGATGAGTATGCTACATCAATTTCCCCGGGGGGGGGGGGGGGGGAAGTCCCCCATTAATTATTATAAAAGAAAACTCACGTTTTCAAGTGAAGAAAATCTGGCAACCCTGACAACACCCCTTAAATTTTATTTATTTTTTAAAATAGATTTATAGTATTTTAAAAGTTTTTTTTTATAAAAATAGAAAGGAACACCCAAAGTTTTATTTATTTTAAATCTTTTTAAATAATAACGCCAATTTTATTATTTATAATTTAATATTTACGAATTTCTAACTAAATTTATTAAATTGATTATTAAAATATAGGTTTTTGGAAGAAAGGTCTTTCTTTTTTATTTTTATATTCGACTTCTTTCTATGGCTCGGATGTAGTTCCACTCTCATATAACCTCATATCTGGGTTACAAGGTTTGTTGGTATAAATCGGCATAATTATATGAAGGATGGGTCTTCATATAATTCAAGTACGCTTACCTTTGAGCAGGTCTATGACCAACGTTCAAATAAAGGTATTTATACTTTAAATAAAAGAATTTTTTTAAATATGATATCGGAATTATGGATTTATAAAAGACAAAGATAATTTTGAAAGTATGTTTTCTGGAGAATTCTAATTTCACGGAGAGTAATAATGAAAAATTCATTTAATACTACCAATATCCATAAACTTTTTTAATTATTGTAAAAAAAATTAATTAAATGCATAATTCGATTTTTTCCATAAAAAAATATTGATTTCTTAATTATATTTGGTTCAAAGGTGGGTGGTGAAAAATCAATATAAATATCGGATCGGGTTTAAACCAATATCGGGAAATATAGGATCGGTGAAAAATTTGTGGATCGGCACAGCCCTAGATTTAATCAAATCATAAGAGTCTTGTTTTCCTGGAATCTCCATACTTATACATCTAATTATTTTTTTAAAACATGATTGGTTATAGAAATAAACATATTTAAATTAAAAAAAAAAATGTTCTGAATTAATAAAGGATAGAATCATTAAAATTTAAGGTAATGAAAGAATCAAAACCATATCCTATAAATATTAGTAAAAAAAATACAACCATAATTTATAAAATAAAATATGAAACCATATGATCAGGCAAAATTTTTTATCATTTTTAAATTACCTGTAAAAACAATCCCCATATGCTTCAATTGTGATGGAGTAGTTAGCACCCTTCCAATATTTTGTGGACTTTCTTTTTTTGCGAGAAGCATATTTCTTCCAAATATTGGTAGTTGGATTTTAAACATGTTACATATATGTTGAATGATTTTAAAAAGTGAGTCATCTAGGGTGTTAAATATTTAAAAAAAAATCATGATTTTTAAGAATTACAATTAACTGTAAATAATTACAAAATCTTATAATTTTTTAATTTTGAGTCTGAGTGTACAAAGTCTACTAGGTCCATTGAAGATCCTTCAAAAGGCATAAAGAATATTTTTTATCATCTAATTAAAAAAGTTCATAAATTTGTCAAAATCAACAATTTACCTTTGGTAAGAACTATTTTTGGGTCAACAAAGTTTTTGAAATTAAGGTCTTGTTCTTAATAATCAACATCATATGTTGTAGTTAAATAACTAACTATGAAATTTTAACTTTTTAATTATGATTTTCTTAGGAATTGTATGCCTTTTCTATATTATTTTTAATAAATAAAGTCAATGTACCTTTTTATGAATCCAATACTATGAATCCTAATGGTCTACCACTTTTATTTAATTTTTGAGGTGATTGAATTTCTTTCACGATATTATTTATACATCCATTTTCTTGATTAAAAAATATTGGGCAAAATTAACTTCCTTCATAACTTTGTATATAGCTTTTATTTCTTGCTAATAGGCCATTTGGGTTCGGGGCCTAAATATTCCCAAGCTGATTTCGCAACAAAAATAAAAGAAAGATTGTGAATACAAACTAGACATAACATTTTTTTAAATTTTGATAAATATATAAAAATTTATATAATAATTTAGTCAATATTTAACTACTAATAGTTTAATTATTTATAAAATGTAAAACATATTTATAAATTTGTTAATAGTTTTAATATAATTAAAAACAAATTAAAATGATAATTTATGCAATATTTAACTACTTATATAAATAATATTTAATTATATATATATATATAGGCGTAGCCAGGATTTTCCTAAGGGGGAGGTGGGGGAATTAAAAATATTCTGGGGGCTTCGCCCTCAAGACCCCATATTAGGCGGGCCTTTGGCTTGCTTTTGTCCGGCCTTCGGCCGGGTTACCTTAGTTTATATATAGTCATAAAATATTTTTACAATATAAGAGGTCATTTTTAATAAAAAAAATAAGCCTGGAACAAATATATAATATATTTTTATTATATATAAAATAAAATAAATTACTTGTATATAGATTAATATAAAAGCATGGTAATTATTTATTCCAAACAAGTATAAGAAATTTATAAAAAGTAAGTAAACCTATAGTTGATATTCCTCTATTATATAGAATTGGTAACAAAATACTAGGTAAAATTCCATTTTTACAGACATATTTGACAGTTAGAGAATATATTACAGTTAATTCGACCACGGAGAAGATATCTGGGAAAATCAAGCAGTGTACATATAAAAATACGATCACGGTAAAAAATGAAGAATTCGAAATAAGATAAAATTTTGTTCTATAAAATTTTATGTATTGTTTAATAGTAATAGCTTACCTTTTATCAGTGGCCCCTACAACGGGGCATGGGGGGGGGCCCAAAGCAACTGCTTCTAAAAATTTGTGTGGGGGTACTTTAATAAATTTTTTTAAATTCTTTTATTGTTTTGCTACATCCATCCATAACCAAGTGATCTAGTTTATGAATGTAATAATAAGACCCCCCCCCCCTTATTATTTAATTTAATATATATTGACGGAAACTTTGGTCGATGTTTAGTAAATTAGGTTGTTATCCGAGTTTCTTGTCATAAAATTATTTTTCCAATTTCAAAATATGCCCAAAAATATTAACCAAAAAAAATACAAATGCTTAATTAAAAATTGCACATCGCATAATATAAGAGATGATAAATATCTAGAATTAGGAGCTCTCCAACCTAAATATTATTTACCAAAGATATTATGGAAACAGATCCTTTTTAATGAAAGTTTTTATGAGAAAACTAATATTGACAATAGCAAAATTGCTTGAAATTTGATTACATACAAAATGAATAAAGTTTTTTGATTAACATTTCTCTTATTTGGAGGTCTACACCAATTAATGAACATTTGAAGGTCTAAATAAATGGAAAATATTAATCGTGATATTATTGTGCATGAATCTTCACAGGCACATATGATGACCGATTATGGAAGGCTTTCTCACAATAAAAATTTTATATTACAATTTATAATACCCCAGAAAGAATGTGTGGACAATAACCTTTCTATCATAAGAATAATATATGTCTAGGTTTTTAAATATCTCGTAACCAAGCCTTCTGGGGGAACAGGCAACAAGAAGGCAGATGGGCCTCATTAAACTCATTGCAGATTCCGAACCTGTTCTCAAAATATTTACCACAAAATGAAGAATCGAAATTATATTCAAATCTATTATCAAATAATAACATAAATATTCTCATTGAAACCATGAAAAATATTATTATAAAAAAAATTCAAAAAACAGGTGCTTTTCAATCATAGTTGATGGCACATATGATGTTTCGAAATCAGAAGCAGTAGCTTTGTTAGCAAGATATATTGAAAATAGTCAGACGCCTAAGCCCGTTGAAAGACTTATAGACATATATTTTACCGGAAATACAATTGGGCTCGATATTAAAAAGAATATAATATCCAAACTTGGTCCATGTATCTACCCCTCGAATTCCTAGTTGGGCCAACCTATGTTGGCACCTCAAACATGAGTAAAAGAATCAATGGAGTGCAGGCTTTAGAGCGGAGGCGCCAAAGGCGGTGCTATTCTCATCAATTAAATGTAATTATTGTTCAATTATGTCAGCCAATAAAAGAACTGCGAAATGTTTTAGGATTATTAGACGAGATTTTTGTATATTTTAATGGTGTTAAAATATATGAGGTGCTCAAAGCATGTCAGAATAATGTACTGACAAAATCGAAACGATTTCTACGCATCAAAAATACCACTCGATAATATTATATTATTTGTTTTAAATTATTTATTTTATATTTATGGAAGCTGGCTATCATCATAGAAAGCAATTGTAAATTTTTTTCTACTTTATGATGCCTTGAGGGCAGCTTTGACAAATTTAAAGGATTCTGAAGATCCTGCCATTACCTACTATGGCTAATGCTATAGTCTTTAGAATAGAAAAATTTTATTTTATTTTATCTGTGTTTTGGATAAAATATTGTTGATAATGGGCTTGTACAAAATTACAAACCCTTGAAGGATATAGTGTTTGCAATAAATCAAATACAATTGGCAAAAGATTGCCTGATTAATTTGAGAAGTATAATTTAAATTATTGTCTTTTATTATTTTTTAATTCTAAAAGATAATAACACTGAATTTTTGGATGTTTTTTCAAAAGCACAAGATTTTATGAAATAGAGAAATCTACCTTTTGATTTTGAAAGTTTTAGACTTCAAACAATACAATCCTAAAATGAGAGGTATATACTTTCATCATTATATATAATATTTTATTTTATACTAATACATTATTTAGATTCTTCTTCTGATGATGATGATAATTCTGATACTTATTATTCAGACTAGCAAACTATTCGTTTATTTTACCTTATCTTCTACTTAAAAATTTTCTGCTTTACCTAATTTAACAATTTAATACAAATATTTATTAAACATTTCTACTACCTCATGTACTGCCGAAAGGGTCATGAGTAAAATTAAATTAATTAAAACAAGACTTCGTAGCACCAAGAAACATTTCTCAATAATTTAACCATTTTATCAATGGGAAAAATTTATTTAGATAATTAAATATTGATGAAATTATAAATTCTTGCCCTTTCTCTTCCCCTAATTTATCTAAATTATTAATTTAAAAAATATATTTTTAAAGTATATATATTTATTTTACATTTTATTTATATTATATATTAAAGATTGATGCAATAAAATTTATTTTTAAATTTATGGGTGTCGAAAAATAATTAACCATTTTTTCGAGGGGAGTGGTGTGTGGGCGGAATACTTTTTAGGGGGGTATCTGCTTCCATCCCTCATAAAGTATAGAGGCCACTGCCTTTTATCAATTAAAATTGTGAAAATATTTTTAATAAAGGTATTAATTAGCCTTTTGTAAGGTTTAATTTGGAATAAATTGTAAGGTAAGATTAAAATTTTAAAAATGTTTTATAAAAAGAATATTAGAACATTTCGTTATGTAGAAATTAAGGATTTGTCGCAATTAAATATTTATTTAGGAATGATAATTTTAATTGTAGGGATTATAATTTATTTGTGGTATAAAAAAAGAAATAAAAATAAAGATATAAATAAGAATGCTTAAGCAAGTAGAAATAGAAACTTATGTAAAGAAATATATATGACGAAAAATGATGAAAAAATGGAATAGTATGTTAAAAACCAGAGATCATTAGAGATTCTGAAAAAGAAAAGGATGATATAGATATAGAAAATATAAAAAAAGAGATTGAAATTGAAAAAATAAATGAGAGAATGGGAACAAGAAAGAAAAGATATAGAAGAATTGGAAAGGAAAAAGAAAGAAAAATTGGATAAAATTGAGTTAGAAAAAAAGGAAAAGGAAATATTGAGAGTAGAAATGACAGAAATGAAAATAAAGATAAAAGAATTGGAGGAGAAAAATGAAGAAAAGGAATAAAGCGAAATTATGGAAATAATACAGGGGGAGATGGATATAGAATGGAATATAGAAGGAATCAATGGAATAGGACGGAGCAGAATAGAGCATGTTATAATTGTTGGAAACATGGTCATATAAGAAAAGAATGTATTGAAGAGATGAATCGAAGAATGTTACCAGTAGTTTGTAAAAGATGTGGAAACAAAGGACATAATGCAAAAGAGTGTTACGTTCCGGTATACAAGTTATTAAATGAAAAACAAAAAAATACGGTTGTGTGTGAAATTTGTGGAAATTTTGGCATAATCAGGATAAGTGTGAGAAAAATAAACAGGAAAATTTGAAAGCATTTTCAGCGATGGAATACAGAAATAATGAGGGAAAAATATATATGAAAAGAGAAGTGTAGAAGATATAACGTGTTTTAAATGTCGTAATATGGGTTATTATGCAAAATATTGTGCAGTAGGATGACTCTATGATAGTGAAATAAAAACATTTGGAGGAGTTACCACTTTAGTAGCTTTCAGTCTCCTTCCCTATTGTTGGTTCCCCATTCTATTATAGGGTTGGTGTCATTAATTCAGTTTCATTGCTGTTAATTGGAAAGAATATTTAAGTAAGTCAGTCAAATGTTTTTTTTTATTCATTTCTTTTATTTAACATTAAACATTATACGCAGAAACATTTTTATCGTTCATAAACCTAAATTTCATAATTAAACACGAACTTTCTGTTCCCAATATTCATGAGGTTTTAATTCCTATTATGGTACCTTTCTCTCTTTCCTTTGGTCTAAAATAATATGCAAGGCTAATTTCGTTGATTACACCAAAAATTTCAAAAATTAACAATATTCAAATATTATCTAATGGTTCCTCCATTATTATACATTTATATTTACACAAATCCGCATTCATACATATAAAATCAAAAATATCTATATTAATTTACCTTAAATATATATACAATATTATGCATGCATATAGATAAACTTTTAACATAAGTCTATCCTAAAATTTATATCTGAGATATGCCATACTTTTTTATTTCATCATATAATTTTTTTGTTTTTAATTTAACTATCCTTTTTTTAAAAATATATATCACATTATTATACAAATATTTCCCATCCATAATTATGATTTCCTTTTTTTTAAAAAAAACATTACAAATGTTTCATATCCATAATTTTCTCCATTTTTTAAACATTAACAAAATGTTTTCATTTCATCATTTCTTCTAATATAAAAATATTCGTATATTATCCCTTTTTTTTCTTCACATTATACTTCAAAAAATTTATTCTTGCTAATTATAATCCAAATTTAAACATTAGGCAAGTTTCTATCCGATATTTATGAGGCCTTTTGTTCCTATGACGGATGCCTGTTCACCATTCTATGGATCTAAAAATTAACAAAATAATACCTATCTTCAAAACATTGGGTCTAAGCTAAAAATAATAATACTTCTTTTTAAAACATATACAATATAACTATTAATAACTCGGCAATATTTAATGGTCCTTAAATTTATATGCCCACAATTTCTAATAGTAAACCTATATCCATGTAATATATAATGGTTACCCCATTTCCGGAAATATTTAATGGTCCCTCCATTTTTATGCCCACAAATTCTAAAAGTTAACCTATATCTCAATAATACATAATGGTTCCTCCATCACTTATTCTAAAAATAAACTCTTTAAATACATACTTTATTTTTTTATCAATTCTTTTAATTTGCTTAATTGAAAATTTAAACTCTCATAAACCCATACTATACTGTCTATTTTGTCTTTTAATTTGTTAAATTCCTATTTTTTTTATTTTAATGTAACTTTTACATATTTTTATTTAAAACAAAGACACTTTCTGGAACTTCACCCTTTTTTTCTTTTTATCATATTTTCCTTTTATTTTTTAATCACAATATCCATTTCTTGGATTTTTCCCTTTTATAACATACTTAATTCTTTTCAAAATGTATATATATTTTTTAAATAATCTATTCCAAATTTTCATATTATTCACCTTGTAATATCTTGTTTCACATCCTTTAAATTAACTTAACACTATAATTAATACCTTTTTCCAAACATCTTTTTTCCTTTTCTTATCCATTTATTTCACTCTTTCTATTTTTTCCCTTTTATAACATTCATTAAAATAGGATTTACCCTTTATTTGGCTGTGTAATTGTATATTGTAGTAATTATTATTAGCACTCACTTTTAAAGTTTCTCATCGCAAATCACTAGCATCATTGCTATAAAAATCCTTAATTTCCATCCATAATTCCATTACATAAAAACAAAATTAGAATTAGTAAATATTAAAGAATTACTAATCCAAGACAATCATTTATTTAGATAAAAAAACAACAATAAAATATCTTTTTTCCTCGAAAGGAATATTATATATTTTGGAAATACCCATATCAATTACAAATTGACAGATTTAACAGGATATAAGATATTATTGTCAAACGTCCATAAAGGACAACTGCAAATTGACAGATAAATACTCACTATAGCAAAGTATTATCTCAGCTTTGTGATTATAAACTATTCGAATATAGAAAACAAATTTAAAGATGAAAAATATCATAATTTACATTTTGACATATTAGATAACTTTCCAATTTGTCATGTGAAAGCTTTACGGGTGACAGAATGTCACTCATATGAGTTTACCAAGTAAATAATAATTTAAAAAATTATTTTTTTGTCGAATAATGGAACCATTAAAAAAACGGCATAAGGATGAAATAGAAAAGTTTAATTCCTTTAACAAAGGTATTATTTTTACCCCGCTATTTATGCTTGTATTATTTTTATATAGATCATCAAAAATATATTGATATTAAAAAACAATTGGGTGGCCAATTAAATGAAGTTGAATCTGTACATGAAGTATACATTTGATAATTATAAATGTTATTTGTATTTTATTTAATATATCATTTGCTTCCTTTTATATACTTAAAAAAATTTACAATTATACATGTATAAAGGAATTAAAGTTGCTTAACACTGATAACACTGTTTACAAAGCAATTGGACCTGTTTTGGTCAAGCAAGATCTCAAAGAAGCAAAGGAGACTGTGGCAAAGCGTAGAAATTATATTAATGATCAGATGTAAATTTTTTTTATACTTATGCAGTAAAAATACTTAGTTCTTTAATTAATAATTATTTGTGTAATATTTGTAAATATAATTGTTAGGGCTGAGCTCTTCCAAAATTTTTTATCAATTGATCAAATATTTATACATCGCTGATCCAATATTTAGATTGATTTTATTTACCATTTTTGAACCAATGTCCAACTAGAACTTTGCTGATATTATAGTGACATTTAGCATTTAAAAAAAACCTAATCTTATATTTTTATTATTTTGGGTTATTATATGTGAACTTCAATATACATCATGAGAATAGAGATAGAAACAAAAATACAATTTAAAAAATAATATAAAACAAAATCTATATTATTTTTTTTTCGCTTTTTTAAATTTTATATATATATTATATAGCAGCAATATATTTTTCTTGGAAATATGTTATTTTTTCAATGTTAAATCATTTTTTGAGCACATTTTTTTAAATTTATAAATCCTATTTTGGAAATTAGTGTTTTCAATGGTTAGGTCAGATTGGTTGGACTCATGGTCCAGTCCAAGGTGGTCTTATCAGACTCTTGGGTTTTATGGGATGGTCTGGTCTGGTCCAACAAGACCAATTAAAGAAAATATAAGTTTGCTATACTATGAATTGCTTTTTAGTTAATGTACATGAACACATAAAACATGATTATTTAATGCCTAACACTATAATATCTCATTTATCTTTTACTTTTTATATTCTTCATATAATTCAATTCATTTGTTGTCAAGTAATTTAATTTAGTAAGGTAGGTAGTATATTATTTTTATTTTTAGAAATGGAAATTGTTATCATAGAAGTTGATAAAACTATTGAACCACCACACTCTTTCTTCAAGGGTTGAAAGAATGACTATTGATGTAAATGAAAAAAATTCAACAAATTCTTTACATAATGTTAAAGAATTATAGAAATATTTTGAAAAAGAAAATGCTGAGAAAACATGTAATATATGTCTAGAAATATTTTCCAATTCTTCAAGCACAAGTAAATTATGCATATATATGGAGCTCAAAATTTTAAATATATGAATAAAACCTTAATCAAATAAACATACTATAGTAATGATTAGGGCTGGGAACCAATATTAAAAACCCAAGATTAACAAATTATTGTATTGGTATTAGGTCTAAAATATTGCTATTGGTTTAAATAATATTTTCTATTACTTGTATTGATATTGGTTTAAATTAAAGAAAGAATAGAAATAAGAGGATAGCCAGGGATAGGCTCATGGGAACTGGGACATCAGTAGAGAACAGCTGAGAAAGATTATATAAATGAAATCCAATGCTATTTATCTGATATTCTAACATACTAGATTGGTGGGAAGAGATTAATCCAATTCTAGCCATAATAGCAATGGACTATCTCTCACAGCAGACTATATCTGTATCATGTGAATGGATCTTTTCTAAAGTTAATAATAAAATAACAAAAAAACGAAATAGAATGAATCCAAAGATGGTTCAATCTATAATGACACGTGATTCATGAAAAAAATTTTTTTTTTTGATTTTTTAGAAGATAAATATAATTTAATTTATAACCAAATATTTATCGCATTATATATATAAAAAAAACTAGTTTAATAAACAAATTGATTTAAATTATATTCAATAAATTTGTATTTTAATATTCTTTTGAACTATTAGGCATTTGTATTGCATAATATAATAAAAATGATTTGATGATATAATTAAAATATTGATAATTTAATATTTTTCATTTTTAATAAATTTAATGTAGAATAAAACTTTTGTAACTTAATAATTTTTTTTAGATAGGATTGGACCCACTGGGTTGGACTGGACCAATGGTTCCACGGTTCGGTCTCACTTGACTTTTTTAGAAAAAAGGGACCAGACGGGACCAGATTGTTGCAAACATTATCAGAAATGAATTCTAGCATGTTTAAAATACCTATCTTATGAATTGTAGACAATTTTACCATATGAGTTCATTCATAGTGTAGATGGATCAGATATTTACATCTGTTAATGTAATGAATACATCTGATTTGATGGTATTCGGCAAAATATTTATAGTGATTTTTTTAACGTTCCAGCTTATTAGACATTATTATATAAATTGTAATAAATGAATATTCAGTTGTAAAATTAATGATCATGCACTAAATGCTATTTAAAAGTAAAAAACATGAAGAATCAAAATGCTTATATTATAAATTACATATATATTACCAAAACAGAATAAAAAACTTATTTAAAAAGAAATTAAATAATTTTATAACTAAATTATAAGATATTTGTTGAAAACAATTTATAACTTCTACATTACCTTTTCAAATTATAATCAGTATAAAGATTATAATATTAAAAAATTATAATATTTCACAACTTAAATTTCAGTTATTTGAATGTTTTTTTTAAAATTAGAAAATACTTTTCAACTTGCAATTCTTACATTATCTTTCCATAATATGAAAAATTATTTACATTAAGAGCTAAATTTAAGTCATTTGAATGTTTTTGTTTATAAGCTGAAAATATATCTCAATTTGGAATCCCTACATTATATTTTAACAATATGAAAAATTCAATTAAATGTTTAAAAATATTTGGTAAATTTATCACAACTTTCAATTCACATTATCTTTTAATATGAAAAATTAAGAATTTAATTCAATCGAATGTTTAAATAAACATGGAAAATATTTCTTAACTTGCAATTCCTATAGTGTTATTACTTACTTTTTTAGCATCGCTATTTAGAGGGAGAACGCTACTTTTAATTTTAACAGCATTGATATATATATTAAAAATATATTATTTACAAAAAGGTTAAATAATATTCAAATAACTAATATTTTCAAAAAGTATTTAAAATAAGAAAATATACGAATTGAATAATAAAAGAGAAAAAAAACATAATTAAGTTTACCTTATTTTAAAAATCATTTACAAGGAAAAACTTAAAAAAATAGAAATAAATTTAAAATAAAATGAAATAACATAAAATTTTATTTATTAAAATATAATAATTTTATAAAAGCGTTTAAGGTTAAATAGTTTAGGAGTAATACAGTATTAATATGATTTGTTGTAACACATTTTCATAATGTGAAAAAACATTCTTATATAGTTAAATAACTTTCCATAATTATTGTAAAAACATTTTGATAAAATTTTTGATATAATTTTTTTTAATTTTTTTAATAATAAGAGCTTTTAAACTTTAATGAAGATTTACGTCAAAGTTATAAATCGAATATAATTTTTTTATGTTTTGGACCCAAGTTTAAGTGGGAAAATGAGAATAAAAATTTTCTAAGATTTTTAGAATAATTTTTTTTTAAATGCATTATAAATTTTTTTAAATTTAAAGTATTATTACAATATATTAATGTTACTTTTAGTTATCTAAAGAATGGAAATCAGGATAAGAAATTTGATAATTTCTTAATAAACATAAGTGAAAGAAAATTCGAATTTAGGGTTTTCAGATAATTCTTATTTTTTTTTTGGTTTTAAAATTAAATAAAATTTAAAATTTCCTAAAATGACGCATGCCAAAAATCATCGAGATGTGCCACCAACATTCTACCCATAACGGAAGCCCCGACACTTCAATTTAATTTTCTGTAATTATTGAAAAACTTGTTGAGAAAAATACATCCTTTTTTAAAAAAACTTTTAAAAACTTGAAAGAAAATTTTGAGAAACACATTATATTTTTTAAAAAATTCCGGTAATTAACTTAAATTAAAACCTATAATAATTCTTTCTTAAATTTGCGACAATTTTAATTTTAAACTTCTATATTTTATAATTTTTTTTTCTATAAAAACTATATTTCCATTTTTTTAAATGTCAAATTTTACTATCGCTAGTATTTTGAATCTATCTCCAGTTTCAGGTTTGTTAATAAAATATTCTATTATTTACTAACCTTATATATAAAATTCTAGATACACCTAATGAAACTTTTAATTCTCTCGGGGGTTATCTGAAATAACAAATAGATACCAAAGTTATTCACCTATCCCGTCAAATTCCTCGCCGCAATTAAATCCGATAGAAAATTTTTTCGGAGTAATTAAAAATCAATATAGATCAAATTCTCCTAAACCCAATAACCGAAATGAAGTTATTTCAATTGTTACGAGTATTTTAGGCAATTATTTTACATATAATTTTTCAAATTTTTATTCACACCATAAAGTTTATTGAAGAGGGAATTCGATGCATTCCTTTAAATGATTGAATTTGTAATTGATTTATATTGTGTAATATTATATTTACAAAGAATAAATAAATAATAAATGGTTTTTTTATTTTGGTGTTTCGAATTGATCATAAAAAATTATAAACAAATAAGAATTATCTGAAAACCCTAAATTCGAGTTTTCACTCATGTTTATTTAAGAAATTATTCAAATTTCTTATCCTGATTTCCATTCTTTGGATAACTAAAAGTAAAATTAAAATATTGGAATAATGTTTTAAATTTAAAAAAGGTATTGTAAAAATCTTAGAAATTTTTTTTTATATAATATCTTTTAAAATTCTAATTTTTCCACTTAAACTTATGTCCAAAACATAAAAAAAACTATATTCGATTCATAACTTTGAAGTTAGTTTTCATTAAGTTTAAGAACTTTATTATTAAAAATTTTTTTTTGAATTCTCCTTTTTCCACTTAAACTTGTGTCAAAAAAAGACTATTTGATTCATAACTTTGATGATAGTCTTCATTAAAGTTTAAAAACTTTTAAAAAAAATTTAATTTATATCAAAATGTTTTTTACAATAATTATGGAAAGTTATTTAACTATATAAGAATGTTTTTTCACATTATGAAAATGTGTTACAACAAATCATATTAATACTGTAAATAGTTGAATAAGTAATAAGTGAATTAAAATATGTCATAATTGCCATATATTTGTAATATATAAGATTATTTTTATTTTTATTTTTTTTGCACAATTATATAATAATAAATTAATGAAAGGAATCAGATATTTTTATTTTTTTTGCACAATTATATAATAATAAATTAATGAAAGGAATCAGAATTCAATTTATTTGTGATATTTAAAAAAAATCAAATTATTTTAAAAGAGAGTATCTAAAAATTTGATAATTTTTCTGTTATATTGTCTGCAACAAGAAAAATTTTTTTATAAATATTTAGCAAGTCATTCAATTGTTAAACAACTTAGCTAATTTTTAATAACAGCTAATTCAAGATTTTTGTTCAAAATAAATTATTCCAGCTTTGTAATTTTGCTTACAGATGGCTTAAACATTTGGACATTTATTGGCAAAATTTCGAGGCTTAGATAATAATATTTTGATAAAAACTTTGTTTTAACCATTTACATTAGTAATTTGCATCGGGCCTAGTTTTTCAAGCCCGATCCGTTTTTTAAAAAAAATTTTCCTGGTCCGATTCTGAACAAATATTTTTTTGTCCCAAAAGCCCGACCGAATTAAAAATTATTCCCCGGCCTGAATTTATTTAAATTTAATTTTTTTATTGTAAAAAAATTATACAAATGAAATATATTATTAGCTCCTTGTTTCCTGCAGGAATTTAAAAATATATCAATTTATTTGACATAATATAATGATATTATATTTAAAAATTTAAACCTGGTACGATTATGCCATAAATATTCCCCATATTATAAATGAGACGATTAACCTAACAAATAATCATTTGTGAAAGTTATTTTCAGGGATAAAATCTGAACCTTTAAACTAGTATTATCCATTATTATTTACTAAACCTGAACCTTTAAACTAGTATTATCCATTATTATTTACTAAACCTGAATTGTTAAAAAATGTCACCTGAACAGAACCTCTAAAAAGGTCTGTAAACCGGTTAGAACCTTTTGTTATTTTAACTCTTTTAAGGAAATAAGTTTTATAGAAATGTTTTCAACCATAGAATTTATACTTTTTCCATACAGAAATTATTTCACAGGAGTGAATCTCAAAATTATTTTTTAGAGAAGAATAAATTTTTTTAAATGGCCTTCTCTTTACATAATTCTAATACACTTGTATGTTAAAAGTTTAAAACTGGTTTTAAAGGTTCAAAGAACAGATATTCGTAACAGTTTGAATCTTTTTTCTTGAATAGAAAATATTAATTTTTTGATATTATTGGTTTAAAGATAGATAGATGGTAAATAAAATCCATTATAAATATTGGTATAAGTTATCAGATTTATTTTATACTAATATTTAATCATATCAGCGAAAAATATGTGGATTAACATAGATTACCTATTAGTATTTTATTTTCAAAACCAGAAACAATTTTTTTTATTTCTCATGGCTAAAACTATATTTGATTCATTATCATAAATGATAAATGTATTTTGTTTTTTTAGTTTCTAAAAGCTAATCATCTCATTTAAAATATGGGCAATGTTTATGGCTGAATATGACTTGTTAAATATTTTTAAATCCTTTTCCTACAAAGAAAATAACAAAAATAGTAATTTTTTCTTTTATTAATAACCCGATTTTTATAAAATATTTTAAATGAATCGAATTTAATTTATTAAATTTTATTGAGTTATTATTATTATTAGGTTATTTTTATATAATTATATATTACAATCACAAAATAATACTCAAATTTTGAAAATATTTTTTTAAAAACGATAAATATTTGATATTTAATATCGACACAACCCAAATAATTGTAAATAATATATGCTAAATATTTTCAACATAAGATATATATAATTAATCTCCATTTACCAAATAAAAGAAAAAGGAATGATGATCTGATCAAGGAAATTGAGAATAAACGAAAGGTTCATGAAGATAACATCAAAAAAACTGAGAATCAAATTCAGCAATTGCAATTAAAAGCTGCAATGAAGGCTTAAATATTTAAATATGCAAATCAGTTTTTAAATTGTATAATAAAAGTTGTTATAGATTACGAAATATATATATACAATTTTTCTAATAATATATATTAACGCAATAAAATATATCTTATACAGATAATTAAACAATCTTATGAACTTCCTGCTCAATTTAAACAAATTTTACATTTATAAGTATATTATATTTTGATGTATATTACATTTGGTGTGGCATATTTTTTTGCTTTTATACTTTTTTTTTTACTTTGTTACATTATATATTGTTAAAATTGATATTTTGAATAAACAATAAAATTTTACTAATTAATAAATAAATTGCTTTATTATAAATTTGTTATGGAAATAATATTACAATATCTAAACTGTTGAAAGTATTTCCACACCTAACAAAATACCAATTTGACTTCTGCTCTCTAACCCTATTACAATTTCACTCCCTCAAAAATGTTACTCCCTTATTATCTTTAAACTTTACCCCCTAACCTCATACCAAATCAAAATTAGCGAAAATGCAAATCCAAATTGATAATAAACCCTCTTCCTTCCCAATTTTATTCCAATAACGTTCGTCGTCATAGAGACATATCCCTCTTCAACTTCAATAACGTTTTTACGTCACCCTCGAATCCCTGCTTAGATCTAGAGAATGGAAATATCAGTCACCCTTTTCTCTTTTAGTGGAAATGATGCGTTAGTGAAAAATGAACTGATTTATTGGGGCTGAGAATACTCAATATAATAATATTTATTTGATCATATATTCGTATGTAACGCAAATTTTATCCAGGAGTGTGTACCCTTCTACAAAAATGGTTCTGGTTTGGTTTCAGTGAAAAATACTTTATAACCTCAGTGTTAAATCTGCTGTACTTCTGGCAAATTCTGATAGCTGGATCCCTATGATAAAGCATTTTATCAGGCGTTTCTCCTAAAACACCGCTCACTAAATGTTAAGAATAAAAAACCAACTTACCCTGAGGCTCCTCTAATTTTAGTCACTTTTGCAACAAGTGATGTTAGAAATATCATTCTCTCCTTCTCATCTGGTTTGATGAGTTTCACATATCTAATCGCACCCTACAACACAGAACAATGCGATGTATTGGGAAAAATCAACAATTCGTAAACCATATGCTTATTGGAAGCATACAACCCGTTCCACTGTTATAAGGAGCTAAACTCAATTTAAACTTGGCGCTGGCTAACTACCAAGAGTAGTGAACTGAATACTATTCACGATATCAGATTACCTGTGTCCGAATCAATTACTAGTCAATGTATTGGACGTGAGGTCTTTCTTCACATGACTCGGTGTACCTACACGATTTCCTAATTAAAATATACTTTCAAACCTCCTTATCTCTATAGACGTTAGCGCACTTCTAAATTCTATCATGACCCTCTACCCAGAATGTTCCTAATTTGACTTTGATTACTAAGCTTATCCCTGACACCTCCATTTTTAAGAAAGATCAATTCCTACTAACGATGGAGTACAACAAGGTAGCCCTCCAGGCTACTTTTTATTCTGTATAGGCTATAATTGCTTGATTCGGGATATAAACAACCAATACAAGCTAAACCTCCATAATTGGTATATTTACGATGGTATATTAAGCCTCCTACAGAAAGAAGTGAAGTAGGCAGTCAGGATAAAAAAAATCAAGAGCAAATTGGGATGCGAATTCATCCAGACAAGAGAGAACATTGTCCCAGTAGATAGGTTTGTTAAAAAGCCCGATTTGGGTCAATTTAAAAAAACGACCCGATTAAGATTTTTGCCAAAATAATTAGCTTGAGATCAAATAAAGGTTTAAACCTTTCTGCCATCTATGAGCTAAATCTCCATGCTTATATTTTGGCTAAAATCGTATTAAAAACACGAATCTGGCTTTTTAACAGCCCTACCCTTGAGATCAACGATCTCACCCACGATCTTATGTTCAATCACACAAAATTCAACCTTTTTTGACACATCTGGAATCTCCAGTAGGTAGAGACGACTTCTTCGTCAAGTTCCTTGCTGACATTTTACAAGATATATCTCTGATATGCGATATACTATCGCGCTTTCCAGTCCACCAAGTTTTCTTTTATTGAAGAACTACCTTCCAATTCCGAAGATTTTTTATACACTCCCATCCTTGCGAATTTTTCAATATGATGTTATCCTCGCTACCCATGAGCTTGAAATTAAATGCTTTACATAAAATATATTAATCTTAAATTTGGGGTTCTATCGATTACAGGCCACCTTACCAAACAAGGTAGTGGCATTGGCAAAAGGTCGCCGCTACTTTCTTTTACCGCGTTCATATCCTCTCGCCTGTCATGCGAGGCCATCATATACACTCACTCATAAGCCACATTCATCCTTTGCTTCCACAGTCAATTGATCTCTGGAAATCTCTCATTAGTCGACCCTCCCTCTTCAGCGCAACAGAAGGATTGGGATAATTTTAGATAACAACTCAATTGCATACTTTAAATCTAGGAGCCAATCTGAAGACTATTTACATTTTTCAAAGTTTTTCCATCAAGAAATCTTGGCCAACTACTAAGTAACGATAAACTATATCACGACATTGGTCTAAGACTTAATTGCTAAATGGTGATACCTTATCACTGTATTCTCTGTTTAACATCGGTAAACTACAAAAACTGCCACTCTCTGCACTGTAAGTGTTGTAGAAGCAGATTCATTAGATATTCACAATGATATAGCCAGGGCCTTAAAATCTGATGGTGTCCTCGAACCCACATTATGCAGTTCCGGTTGCCAATGGCCATATGTTATACTGGAATCCCTTGGGAAAAAAAATTTCCAACCTGGATTTTTTATGTATTGATTCTCTTGCCCTATCCGATATAAATAGAGATGCTCTCATAGACGCTGAGTCGAATAAACTAGCTAAAAATTTGCCAACACTACCTAACACTACATTCTACCCATAATCGCCACGACTTTAACATTGTTCGACTCTTACGCCCTACCTTTAAAGAATTAAGGCACCGGATATCAGCTAGGACCCAGGATCCCAACGATGGTTATTACTACGTCAGAGTATAAACCTAAACTTAGTAAAAAGCAATTAATTCAGCTTTATATCAATTACCTATCTATAGATTTATTCAATAAAAGTCTAAACCTTTTTGCTATCTTTGAACAAAATCCAGGTTCGAGTAATATTTTTTGGCTAATCTTGAGTTAGCCCTTTTAAAAATAGGCTAAATTCAAGCCGTTTAACAACACGTGTATTCTCATGTCATTTATAAAATTATTAATTACTAGTTGATAACCCGTTAAGAATGACGGGGAATCAGAAATTTCTTCTTTTCAAAGATGAATGAATAATAAATTTTACCTTTATTGAAGAACGAATCAGAAATTTTTATATTTTATGATTATTCAATAATTAAGTTTTTACATGGAAAAATGTTTCTTATTAACACCCCAAATACTAACATTTTCCACCAGAGCTCCTGTTAGTCAGCATTGCTGTTCACTCCCCACCGCTTGAAGGTAGGAGATGGATTTTAGGGGAGCAAAGAGATAAAAAAAAGAATGAAGAAATAGAAAAAAAGAGACAAAGATATGAATTATAAGAAAATATAATAATTGTATATACCTCAAGGCTTGACAATTATCGGATTCCAACAAATAAGCATTTGTAACCATATTAAAAAAATATAATATAGTAAATTATAATAACAAAAATTTTACAAAAAAAGGAGATTTAAGATATTTTAAAAATTGAGAGGAATCTAATATTTTTAAGAATTAGCATCGGGTATATCACCGTATGTTGTCTTCTATTTAAAACTAATAACCTGAAATAAAGCCTGTAAATTGAAAGTTAAAAATAGAATTTATTGATGATGGTATCGTGTCTTTGATGGTTTTGCTCGATGTGGTATTTTGATGATGTAATTTCCTTGCTCGTAGTTTGCCGTAAATAACCTGAAATAAAGCGTGTAAATTGTAAGTGCAAAATAGAATTTACTGATGATGACGGTCGTATATCTTTAATGGTTCAGCTCGATATGGTATTTTGATGATGATGTGATTTCCTTGCTCGTAGTTTGCCGTAAATAACTTGAAATAAAGCGTGTAAATTGAAAGTACAAAATAGAATTTACTGATGATGATGGTCGTGTCTTTTATGGTTTTTCTCGATGTGGTATTTTGATGGTGTGATTTCCTTGCTCGTAGTTTGCCGTAAATAACCTGAAATAAAGCGTGTAAATTGAAAGTACAAAATAGAATTTACAGATGATGGTATCGTGTCTTTGATGGTTTTGCTCGATGTGGTATTTTGATGATGTGATTTCCTTGCTCGTAGTTTGCCGTAAATAACCTGAAATAAAGCGTGTAAATTGTAAGTGCAAAATAGAATTTACTGATGATGACGGTCGTGTCTTTAATGGTTTTGCTCGATATGGTATTTTGATGATGATGTGATTTCCTTGCTCGTAGTTTGCCGTAAATAACCTGAAATAAAGCGTGTAAATTGAAAGTACAAAATAGAATTTACAGATGATGGTATCGTGTCTTTGTTGGTTTTGCTCGATGTAGTATTTTGATGGTGTGATTTCCTTGCTCGTAGTTTGCCGTAAATAACCTGAAATAAAGCGTGTAAATTGAAAGTACAAAATAGAATTTACAGATGATGGTATCGTGTCTTTGTTGGTTTTGCTCGATGTAGTATTTTGATGGTGTGATTTCCTTGCTCGTAGTTTGCCGTAAATAACCTGAAATAAAGCGTGTAAATTGAAAGTACAAAATAGAATTTACAGATGATGGTATCGTGTCTTTGTTGGTTTTGCTCGATGTAGTATTTTGATGGTGTGATTTCCTTGCTCGTAGTTTGCCGTAAATAACCTGAAATAAAGCGTGTAAATTGAAAGTACAAAATAGGATTTACAGATGATGGTATCGTGTCTTTGATGGTTTTGCTCGATGTGGTATTTTGATTATGTGATTTCCTTGCTCGTAGTTTGCCGTAAATAACCTGAAATAAAGCGTGTAAATTGAAAGTACAAAATAGAATTTATTGATGATGGTATCGTGTCTTTGATGGTTTTGCTCGATGTGGTATTTTGATGATGTGATTTCCTTGCTCGTAGTTTGCCGTAAATAACTTGAAATAAAGCGTGTAAATTATAAGTGCAAAATAGAATTTACTGATGATGACGGTCGTGTCTTTAATGGTTTTGCTCGATATGGTATTTTGATGATGATGTGATTTCCTTGCTCGTAGTTTGCCGTAAATAACCTAAAATAAAGCGTGTAAATTGAAAGTACAAAATAGAATTTACAGATGATGGTATCGTGTCTTTGTTGGTTTTGCTCGATGTAGTATTTTGATGGTGTGATTTCCTTGCTCGTAGTTTGCCGTAAATAACCTGAAATAAAGCGTGTAAATTGAAAGTACAAAATAGAATTTACAGATGATGGTATCGTGTCTTTGATGGTTTTGCTCGATGTGGTATTTTGATGATGTGATTTCCTTGCTCGTAGTTTGCCGTAAATAACCTGAAATAAAGCGTGTAAATTGAAAGTACAAAATAGAATTTACTGATGATGGTATCGTGTCTTGATGGTTTTGCTCGATGTGGTATTTTGATGATGTGATTTCCTTGCTCGTAGTTTTCCGTAAATAACCTGAAATAAAGTGTGTAAATTGAAAGTACAAAATAGAATTTACAGATGATTATGGTGTCTTTGATGGTTTTGCTCGATGTGGTATTTTGATGATGTGATTTCCTTGCTCGTAGTTTGCCGTAAATAACATAAAATCAAGCGTGTAAATTGAAAGTACAAAATAGAATTTACAGATGATGGTATCGTGTCTTTGATGGTTTTGCTCGATATGGTATTTTGATGATGTGATTTCCTTGCTCGTAGTTATCCGTAAATAACCTGAAATAAAGCGTGTAAATTCAAAGTGCAAAATAGAATTTACTGATGATGACGGTCGTGTCTTTAATGGTTTTGCTCGATTATTTTGATGATGATGTGGTTTCTTTGCTCGTAGTTTGCCGTAAATAACCTGAAATAAAGCATGTAAGTTGAAAGTACAAAATAGAATTTACAGATGATGGTATCGTGTCTTTGATGGTTTTGCTCGATGTGGTATTTTGATGATGTGATATCCTTGCACGTAGTTTGCCGTAAATAACCTGAAATAAAGCATGTTAATTGAAAGTACAAAATAGAATTTACAGATGATGGTATCGTGTCTTTGATGGTTTTGCTCGATGTGGTATTCTGATGATGTGATTTCCTTGCTCGTAGTTTTCCGTAAATAAATTGAAATAAAGCGTGTAAATTGAAAGTACAAAATAGAATTTACAGATGATTATGGTGTCTTTGATAGTTTTGCTCGATGTGGTATTTTGATGATGTGATTTCCTTGCTCGTAGTTATCCGTAAATAACCTGAAATAAAGCTTGTAAATTCAAAGTGCAAAATAGAATTTACTGATGATGATGGTCATGTCTTTGATGGTTTTTCCCGATGTGGTATTTTGATAGTGTGATTTTCTTGCTCGTAGTTTGCCATAAATAACCTGAAATAAAGCGTGTAAATTAAAAGTGCAAAATAGAATTTACTGATGATGATGGTCATGTCTTTGATGGTTTTTTCCGATGTGGTATTTTGATAGTGTGATTTTCTGGCTCGTAGTTTGCCGTAAATAACCTGAAATAAAGCGTGTAAATTAAAAGTGCAAAATAGAATTTACTGATGATGATGGTCATGTCTTTGATGGTTTTTCCCGATGTGGTATTTTGATAGTGTGATTTTCTTGCTCGTAGTTTGCCATAAATAACCTGAAATAAAGCGTGTAAATTAAAAGTGCAAAATAGAATTTACTGATGATGATGGTCATGTCTTTGATGGTTTTTCCCGATGTGGTATTTTGATAGTGTGATTTTCTTGCTCGTAGTTTGCCGTAAATAACCTGAAATAAAGCGTGTAAATTGAAAGTGCAAAATAGAATTTACTGATGATGATGGTCATGTCTTTGATGGTTTTTCCCGATGTGGTATTTTGATAGTGTGATTTTCTTGCTCGTAGTTTGCCATAAATAACCTGAAATAAAGCGTGTAAATTAAAAGTGCAAAATAGAATTTACAATTTACTGATGATGACGGTCGTGCCTTTAATGGTTTTGCTCGATATGGTATTTTGATGATGATGCAATTTCCTTGCTCGTAGTTTGCCGTAAATAACCTGAAATAAAGCATGTAAGTTGAAAGTACAAAATAGAATTTACAGATGATGGTATCGTGTCTTTGATGGTTTTGCTCGATGTGGTATTTTGATGATGTGATATCCTTGCACGTAGTTTGCCGTAAATAACCTGAAATAAAGCGTGTAAATTGAAAGTACAAAATAGAATTTACTGATGATGATGGTCATGTCTTTGATGGTTTTTCCCAATGTGGTATTTTGATAGTGTGATTTTCTTGCTCGTAGTTTGCCATAAATAACCTGAAATAAAGCGTGTAAATTGAAAGTGCAAAATAGAATTTACTGATGATGATGGTCATGTCTTTTATGGTTTTTCCCGATGTGGTATTTTGATAGTGTGATTTCCTTGCTCGTATTTTTCCGTAAATAACCTGAAATAAAGCTTGTAAATTGAAAGTATAAAATAGAATTTACTGATGATGGTATCGTGTCTTTGTTGATTTTGCTCGATGTGGTATTTTAATGATGATGTGATTTCCTTGCTCATAGTTTGCCGTAAATAACCTGAAATAAAACGTGTAAATTGAAAGTGCAAAATAGAATTTACTGGTGATGGTATCATGTCTTTGATGGTTTTGCTCGATGTGGTATTTTGGGTGTTTTTCAGAAAATAATTAATAAGCATTTAAAAATATAATCAAAATCAGAATTATCTTGTTTTTTTTTATCAGGACAGACTTGTAAACAATTTATATAATAAAAAATAAAGAGTTAAAATTTACTGTTAAGGATGTTGAAGCAATATTACACTGATCTTGATTTTCAGTACTACTACAAGACTTTGCTCTTGTCTTTTCTTGCTTCGTTCTTTCTCCGTTTGACTTTCTTCTGGGGCTGATATGTTATTAAAATTTAAAAATATATACCTATTGAATAGTAAGAATATCTATAATATATCAATTAGTTCTAGTATATATATGTTGATGTATAAGATGGCAATGGTTTTATGGTAAAAAAAATATTTAGTATATATGTATTTATTATGTAAAATGTAGAGAAGACAATAGAACAGAAAATAAAAAATTTATTTAGGTCTTTTTTTTTTATCAGGACAGACTTGTAACTAGTTTAATTAATAAAAAATAAAGAGATAATAAAATTTACTGTTAAGGATGTTGAAGCAATATTACATTGATCTTGATTTTCAGTACTACTACACTTTGATATTGATGCAATAAGACTTTGCACTTGTCTTTTTTTGCTTTGACAAAGTTCCTGTCTCTGTCTGGCTTTTTCCTTATGCTGATATGTTATTAAAATTTAAATATACCTATTAAATAGTTTGAATTTTAACATATATACACTAAAATGTTATATCATTTTTAGCACCTATAGAAGAAAATCCAAGGAGTTGTATGTGTTATAAAAATGATCAGTTATGTCTAAATTTGAGACAAAAATTTACTGTACCTCAGCTAAAATTTAAAAATATATGAATATCTATTTAATAGTAAAATTTTAACTTATATACACTTAAAAGCTATTCATAACTTATTTTTATAAATGATCATTTTTAGCCCCTATAGAAGAAAAATCCAAGGAACTGTTGTATGTTATAATAAAGATGTCTAAATATGAAAGTAAATCTTTAAAAAAATCTAGATATTGTAAAGCATGCAATAAAACAGGACCTTCAGGCGCGTACGCAGCGGGGGGGGGGGCAGGGGGACAAATCCCCCCAAAGCCAAAAAATGCAGATGCCGGATTATATTTTTCAAAAATATTATTGTTAATATTAATTTATATTTGTTAATATTTATTCTTATCTCATACATACATATATATATATATATTTAATTACATTTATTTATCACATTCATCTACTAAGTTATTTTATCAATCAATTTCGATTTCAAGTTTTCCTTGGCGTAATTTACCTATTATTTTCAAATTTTAGTGGCGTAATATTTATCTAAATTTCTAATAAAATAATAATTATCTCTGAAACTCCTTGTCCAACAGGGAGAAAAAAATTGCAAGCTTGTCCAACGAGATCGAGTCTCCGCCACAGTAACAGCTATTTTGGAGTTAGAAGAGCTGATTATTAATGCTATTACTGAAATATCACAATGGCTTGAAAGAAATATTTTTTCAGAAGCAAGAAAATTATTGGATTCAATACTTATTCCAAATTTTTTTTCTCATTAGAATGTATTATTTAATTATACAACTATTTTATATAATACTTTTCAAAAACATAACATTGACTTGATTAAGAAGATGAGAATAGCGGAGAGCATTTTATTAGAACTCAAGGAAATAGAGCTAGTGTTGTTGAAGAATTTCATATTTTATATGTTATTGTTGAGTCAAAAGCAGAGCTATACGTGTTAAATATTTGTCCCCCTCGACTTGCAGCAAGCA